GGGGACCCAGCCAGTCTGGTGATTACCGCGCTTGTGTTTCTGAGGCGCTGTGGCTGCAGCCTGAGACCGGCCCCGCTGTGCCAGGCGCTGTACAGATGCAGAGCAAGGGGGGTACAATCCAAGGGTGCCCTGTGACACATCCAATGTTCTCACTCGGCTTCCACTGCTTGATGCCTTTCTGAAAACCTGGGTCCTGGATTTGTGTGATGGGGGAATAAAAAGTAGAAATCTTTGATGTAGAATAGTGTTAGTCTGGGGCAGCTGAAGCAAAATGCAGGACAATGTAGCACTTGAAAGACTAACAAGATGGTTTATTAGATGATGAGCTTTCATATTTGTTCATTTTTTTAAATTGTATCCTTTGGTATATATGGTTGTGACTATTTTCTTCCACTATTTGATCTGAGGAAGTGGGTCTGGCCCACGAAAGCTCATCATCTAATAAACCATCTTGTTAGTCTTTAAAGTGCTACATTGTCCTGCATTTTGCTAGAAATCTTTGGCACTCATGGTTGCAGGTGAGAGCTTGAAAATGTGACCTGAATATAATGTAAACTTTTGGAAATAAGAAATAATTTTAAAAATCTCTTTAATATCATGATTTTTGAGAATTAGCTTTGAGTAAGATTTGGAGCATGTCTGAATTCTAGCCAGCACTCTGGTTGCAGAATTGGAGACGTTAGGTTTTATCCTATGCGAAGAACCCTACCGAATTCAGAGTCATGACAAATGCTTTATGGGTTGTGAAATCTGGGGTCTCCCACCCTGAAATTTACTTCTTCGTGTGTTTTTACACTATACGGATTTCAAGAGGGGAGACCAGCATTTCTCAGATTGGGAATCTTAAATAGGGACATAAAATCCTGTTTAATTGGTTAACCAGTTAAGCAATTAAAGAGGGAATAGGTGGGGCCAGGCTGGAGTGCCTCTTCTCTCCTGCCACAGGCATACTCAGTCCCACTGCAGATGGGCTGCTCCCACTAAGCTGGGGCATGACTGTCCGCAGTGAGTGGAGAGCTTTTTCAGCTCCCACTGGTTAACTAGAACTGCTTAACTTACATTCCTAGTAATGACCCAAAAGGAGCTGTAGGGGAGGGGTCACAGGGTTATTTTAGGGGGTCACAGTCTTGTCACTCTTCTATGCTTCCTTCAGGGTTGTTGGTCAGCAGCAGCACAGAAGAGGGTAGAAATGCATTTGATCCCTCAGATCCCTTTCTAATTGACATCTGAATTTGTTCAGTTTGCTATCTTTATGTGCAATGAAATGCTTAATTTTTTTTTATCAGTGTGCAAGATGGACTGGCTGCAGACTTCAGTTCATTGACAAAGACTCTTTATGATTTGCATAAAGCTCAAGGGACAAAACTAGTTTGCGGAAGTCCTCTAAAAGAACTGGTGGTAGAAAACTTTGATGAAGAACAGATCTGGCAACAAATAGAGCTACAGAATAATTCAGTTTTAGACTACTTCAAGAAAGCTGTTGATAGAGATGTTAAAGACAAAGATCTCTACATTTTCCCAGCCCAAGAAGAAGAGGACTTTGAGGCAGACTCTAGCAGTGATAAACAAATGGAACAGAAAAATTGCATGGAAACAGAACCTGCCTCTATTGAACATAAAAGTGAGGCTGAAGAAAAGCAATGTAAATCCAGATCAAGGAAAAGGCAGATATGTAGTGATGACGATTCAGATGTTGACTTTGATATTGATGAGCTAGAGCAACAGGTTCAAAAGTTGAAGAAGCCAATCTTGAAAAAATCAAGTGAAAAGTCCATAGTAGATGATAAATTTTTCAGACTGGCTGAGATGGAAGCCTTTTTGGAAGATGTAGAGAAGGAAGAAGGCAAGAAGAAGGTGGATGATGATGATGAAGAGGAGGATGAGATTGATTATTTTGAAGATATTCTTTCTGATGAGGATGAAGAAGAATCTGGAAAAGATAAAATCGAGGTAAAGATATATGTATCCAGAATTAGAAACATTTTTCACAAGCCGGTATGATTTAAATTAGCTTAAAAAAACTGATAAGAAATTGAAATTGCAGTTTAAATTGGAAAGTAAAGGTAGGCTTTTTAAAAAAGTATAATGAATCATTGAAACAATTTAACAAGGATTTGGTGGGTTCTCGTTACTTAAAACCTTAAGCTCAAGATCATATGCCAAAAGACAAATTATTGGCTCAAAGCAGGAATTACTAGGTGAAATTACATAGCCTGTATTATGCAGGAGTTCAGACTACAAAATAATGATACCTTCTGGATGTAAAAATCTGGCTCTATTAACTTGTTATCATAAATATGTGGGATCAAATAAACAGTCCCTATGCAGAAGAGTGTACTTATCTTTGGATAGGTCTCGGTTTGTAGATCTCTTTTGCGGGAGGGCAGGGTTTTATAAGGCTGTAAATTAACCTGAGCTGCTGTATTTTGGCTTGAACATTATTTTCAGGCTTTCTTCATTGCTTGTGACAGTTCTGTTCTTTCAGTATCTTATTTGAAATGTGATAAAAGAAAAATAAAATGTTTCTGGCAGTGATAAATTGATGCACATGAGAGCCATGTGTGATGCTGTCAGGGGATTTATGAGCTACCCCCCACAGCTCAGTAAATAAAGTCAAAGTTGTTGACAGCACATCCACTGCTTTTCCAGATCTTGGTCTCTAAGCAAATTAAAATAGAATTGACTATTTATTGACGACATTAAAATGTCTCACTTGTATGAAGGCCACTTTCTACCAGTTGAGGTTCACTGAATTCTCTTTGCAAATCTCATACAGTACGTATATATAACATGGCCCTCATGGTTATAAAAGATTCTTGTTCACTTGTACTTTCACTGGGTAACCTCTTATTTTCTCCCCCCCCCCCAGCCAGTTAAAAGTTCCAGAAATTTGAAATATAAAGATTTCTTTGACCCCATTGATGCCGATGATGCCTTAGTTAATGAAAGCGAAAATGATCAGGGTGATGAAGAGGAACATGACCTGGAAGAGGAGGATGAAGAAGGCAGCATTTTTGATGAGTATGTACACTTGGAATGATTTGTAACTGTTCTGTAGTATCTGCCCAGTTATTTGAATTGTCACTGGTAAGGTAACATTATCTCTTAAACAGAAAATAAAATAGTACTCTCTGCCAAAGAGATTTCTATTATATTAAGGAAGGCGCGGCCTTTTTAAAACTTGTAGCAAATATTTCATTATGTTCATGTGCTTTTGGCTTTCTGTAATGTCAGTTCAGCATGTTAATTAACTACTTTTTGACTGAAGCAATACATAATTCATTTAGTCAAATCCCACAGGGCAACAAGTCTAATGACTATTCTTTTCTCAATTGGGGCGACATATCTTCATTAGATATGTAGGAGATCATCCAAAAGCCTACTTTCAGAATTATGTTAGGTCTTAAAGAAAGCAAAGTAAAAATTCTGGGGATTCTCTGAAAATGTATTATAACCATTTATATTACAGCATTTTTATGTTTATAGGATTGAGGAAAATAATGAAATGGAAGTAATGGAGCAGAATGAGATACCTAAAGAAGTCTCTAAAAAAGTTACTTTTAACTTACCTGAAGACAGTGGAGACGAAGTTGATACAGACACACCAAATGAGAAGAGAACTGATTCCATTGGAATAAAATCTTCTTTTGAGAAAAGGCAGGAAAAGGTAACTGAGATGTTCTAGTGCCCCTTTGTGAGCAACTGTTTTGAAGTTTTCCACTAAAACTTGAGCCAAAGACAGGTGTGTTATTAATAAGTTCATTGTATTTCATTGTAATGAAAGCATTAGAAAAATTGTAGAAGAAAATATCATTCAGTAGTACAGGGGTTCACAAACTTTGTGATACCATGACCCCCTAAAATGCTAAATGAATTTGTGTGACCCTCCCTCCCCCACTCTCACTGCCCTGGGTCGCTTCCTCCCCCATTCTCACCAGACTTCTTGCCCTCCTGGGGTTGCTTCACGGCATTTGCGGTCCTCAACACCCTTCCCCCCTGCAGGCTCCTCCCTCCGTCTCTTTCTCCTCTGTGCCTCTTTTTTGCTCCGCAGCCGTGTGGTTTGGTTTGGTTCCGTTCCGTTCCTCTCTGCCTCTTCCTCTGACCCCCATGTGCCCTTATTTACCTCCGGGTCCTCTGCCCCGACCCAATCCCTCAGCCCGCTGCCAGCTGGGGAAGTGTTCGGTTGCCCGGCAACCATGCCCTGCTGCCCCCTTGCGCATCTGCTCCGGCGCCGGCCTCACTCTCCCACCGCCTTGCCTCCTCCTGCAGCTGAGCCACACTCCTGGAGTCCTGCAGCCCCTGCCCCACTGTGCGGCTTGCCAGCGGCTGCCTTCCGCCGCTCTTTGCGACCCACAGTTTGAGAAATGCTGCAGTAGTAGAATATTTACAGAAAGATCAGGCAAAAGGTGTGCAAAGAATTTTAGAAGTACATGGAATAATTATTCGTATTCTTCTCTCTACCTTGATTTACATTTGGTTGTTGCTAAACGTGTGTAACTTTTAGGAAATTTTATCTTTCAGATGAATGAAAAAATTAAATCTCTAGAAAAAGAGTTGTTGGACGAAAAACCTTGGCAGCTTACAGGAGAAGTGACTGGGCAAAAACGACCTGAAAACAGCCTTTTGGAGGAATCTTTGCTCTTTGACCATGCAGTCAGAATGGGTAAATATTATGCTAAATAATTTGGTTGTTTTACTGATGAGGGTGGTACACAACTGCTGTCTGCTTTTCTCCTATCTTCCCCCCACCATGCTTATAAGTTTGCCAAACATTGCCCAAACTGGGATTGAATATTTTAAGGCTATATTTTCTGCTATAAACATTTTATTCTCTCACCCATTTGTTAACTTTCAGAGGACGCTTTATTAAATGAGAATAATCCATTGTGTATGATTCACTTATTTATCGGGCAAACACAACTTTGTTATTTTTCTCAGCATTTCACACTATGCATTCTTTCCTGGGAAAATAAGATAGTAAGCTTATCTAGTCCATCTTCATTCCAGGCCAACACGCCTCTCTAAAATCATAGAACCATAGAGCTGGAAGAGACCTCAGAAGGCCATCAAATCCAGCCCCCTGCCCAAGGCAGGACCAATCCCAATTAAATCAACCCAGCCAGGGCTTTGTCAAGCCGAGACTTAAACACCTCTAGGGATGGAGACTCCACTACTTCCCTACGTAACCCATTCCAGTGCCTTACCACCCTCCTAGTGAAATAGTTTTTCCTAATATCCAACCTGGACCTCTCCCACCGCAACTTGAGACCATTGTTCCTTGTTCTGCCATCCATCACTACTGAGAACAGCCTTTCTCCAGCCTCTTTGGAACCTCCCTTAAGGAAGTTGAAGGCTGCTATCAAAGGCACACTGCTGACTCATGTCCAGTTTTCAGTCCCCAGCCTGTAACAATGCTTGGGATTCTTCCATCCCAAGTACAGGACTCTACACTTGTCATTGTTGAACCTCATCAGATTTCTTTTGGCCCAATCCTCTAATCTATCCAGGTCACACTGGACCCTATCCCTGCCCTCCAGCATATCTACCTCTCCCCCTAGCTTAGTGTCATCCGCAAACTTGCTGAGGGTGCAATTCATCATCCAGGTCATTAATAGAGATGTTGAACAAAACCGGTCCCAGAACCGAACCTTGGAACACTCTGCTAGAAACCGACCGCCATCCTGACATCGAGCCATTGATCACTACCCGCTGGGCTCGACCTTCCAGCCAGTTTTCTATCTATCTTTACTGTCCATTTATCCAATCCACATTCCCTTAACTTGCTGGTAAAAATACTATATATTTTTCTAACATTTGTCAGTTTTTTGTTTTTGTTTATAGAACAAGCTCAGTGCAAGTTAAAATAATATCTCCAAAACTTAATCTCTTTTTCATTTAATGAATGATTAAGTTTCTGAATATTTAAACTTGCTGTTTTCGTGCCCTTTTAGCTCCTGTTATCACAGAGGAAACCACCTTTCAGCTTGAAGATATTATCAAACAGAGGATAAAAGATCAGGTTAAAATGACTTAACTTCACCTCTTTGCTTTATTTGGAAGCTTGAATATTTCAACAAAACATAGCTGGCACAGGAATGAATTGAAATGTACTTGCATTGACTTGGAGTTTTGAGGACACAGGAATAAATTCCAAGCATGAGTTTAAGGCCCCTTAAGTTTTTTTAGGTATCCGTTTGTCTCCTGAACGTTTCCAGAAGAAATAGATTAGAATCTTAATAACTCCATTCTTTATGCTTTGGGTGCTCCGACATTTCTCAATTAAAGAATGAATTAAAATTACCCTCACAGTTTACAGGTTCAACTATAAAAGGACTACTTTGGGGATTTGCAGATGGAATTTCTATAACGGAAATGCAAATCTCTATTTAATTATCTCTTCTCAATATTGACCAAGAATATTTTTTTCAGAGTATATTAAATAGATTCTGTGGGTAAATAAGTATAGTATAATATAAATATTTAATTGCACTGAAAGCCATATTGCTGTTTATAATTTATATTAAAAAGTACTTTCAAAATTTTATTCTTGATTGTTAATTAGTATACTATTTTTGGTTGTTTCTGTGCACTAAAAAAAAAGACTGGCGAGTGTGTGAAGATGTCTGTGCTTCAGTCTTGTTTAACGGGGTGGATTTTTTTTTTCTGGACTAAATGAAATTCTTTAGAAAACACAATCTTTGCTATCATATGGAGCTATTAGAGTTAGTAATTGCCAAAGTTATGGCAAAAGGTAGCTCCCTTTGTATAAGAAATTGCCCCTGCTATTAGGTTAGTGCAGTTTTGGAAAACCAAGTTAATATCCTCATGGAAACAACAAATGAGATATCTGATACATGTGATATATAAATATGGTCTTCTGTTGAAGCTTATTTGATGCAATTGCATCTTAACTGTTTTCTGGGTTTGTCTTAGGCTTGGGATGATGTAGTACGTAAAGAAAAACCAAAAGAGGATGCCTTTGAATACAAGAAACGTCTAACTCTGGATCATGAGAAGAGCAAGTTGAGTCTTGCTGAAATCTATGAGCAAGAATATTTGGCCCTCAACCGTGTAAGTTATGATAATGGACATGCACATACTAAGCCATTGCTGTTGGTTGCAGAAATCAAACAATGACTTCATGAAAGTTTTTATTTTTAAATGCTGAACTGCCATGAGTATTGGAAAATCCTGAAGTGCTCATTCAGTACAACCAGGCCAGTGAACTGATACTTCACATTCCATGTTTACTGTTCAATTTGCACAAATACTTTCAAGAATGGATCGTTGTCTTAAAATGTGGCATGACAAATAATAGAGTTTACATTCTAGAACAGGGATTGCTTTAAAAAATGTTCATAAGAGGAAATTACTGTTATTAGTCCCTTTTTTGTGTAATTCATATTGATATAATTGTTCTATTATAATTAAGCCGCCTCAGTATCATTAGAATAATTATTTGTCTGAATCCTTTGAGTTCACAGATAATGCAAATCCTTTAAATATATTAAAAATATTAAGATTTCAGTAAATATCAGACTTGGTCTTATACACAGTGGCTACGTCTACACTGGCCCCTTTTCCGAAAGGGGCATGTTAATTTCACAGGTCGTAATAGGGAAATCCGCGGGGGATTTAAATATCCCCCGCGGCATTTAAATAAAAATGTCCGCCGCTTTTTTCCGGCTTTTAGAAAAGCCGGAAAAGAGCGTCTACACTGGCCCCGATCCTCCGGAAAAAGCGCCCTTTTCTGGAGGATCTTATTCCTACTTCAAAGTAGGAATAAGATCCTCCGGAAAAGGGCGCTTTTTCCGGAGGATCGGGGCCAGTGTAGACGCTCTTTTCCGGCTTTTCTAAAAGCCGGAAAAAAGCGGCGGACATTTTTATTTAAATGCCGCGGGGGATATTTAAATCCCCCGCGGATTTCCCTATTACGACCTGTGAAATTAACATGCCCCTTTCGGAAAAGGGGCCAGTGTAGACAAGCCCCCTATGTTTTAATTTTCTTTACCACATCTTTAATAGGAGCCTAAGATTCCTTAATTTCCCCTTCTTTAGCCAACTTCAGATGATATTTGAGTTACACAACCACTTACCAATGTGAAACACCATGTCAGAATTAAATCCACTGAGTCTTATGAGACTCTATGCTCCTGGTGAGACTCATGGTGTTTTGAGTCTGAGAGAGGGGGTTTTTTTTGGGAGGGGGGTTGTTTTTTTTGTTTTTTTCAACGCATGAGTAAGAGTTAGGTACTTACTTCCCCTTGACTTTCAGTGGAAATGGGGTGCCCGATTCACACTTCTATTTGGAAATCTTCCCATAAGCTGTTGACATATTGAGGATCATTTTAACCCTCTATGGTTTAATGTACCTATCTATAGATCAAATCCATGGCTGTCCAGTTTATATCCATGGGCCATGTTTGTGGACTGGATGCAGATAGAAATTTTGTATCTGTGTAGGACTCTACCATCTGCAAAAAATGATATAATCTGCATACTGCAGCATTGAGATATAATGTAAAGTGTTCTAGTATCTTTATATGCAAGTTCCACTAAGAGATGTTGCTATAAATGTTGTTGTTGCTATTTATTATTATTGTTATTTATTATTAACACAGCAAAAAACTGAAGAGGAAGAAAATCCTGAACATGTCGAAATTCAGAAAATGATGGACTCACTTTTCCTAAAACTGGACGCTCTTTCCAACTTCCACTTTATGCCTAAGCCTGTGAGTCTCTTAGTTTTCACAATTTTTAAACTCCGTACAATAAAATGTTTGGAAAATAGGCAGTAAGATGAGGGATACTTAACAAATAATTGTAGTGGAAGTATTTCAGAAACATATTATAATCAGCCTTAATATAAATGGGAATGTAACTAGTGTGACTAAATTCAGTTAGTAATATATTGCTATGACATATTAATATACATGAATGGTGTTGTTCTTTCTTTCTAGCCCGTGCCAGAAGTTAAAATCGTCTCAAATCTTCCAGCTATAATTATGGAGGAAGTAGCACCAGTTAGTGTTAGTGATGCAGCTCTCTTGGCTCCTGAGGAGGTCAAGGTAAGAAATCTAGAGCTACACAATGAGAGTACCCTGCACCCTCAGAAGGGAGAGCTGGGAGACATTTTTGTGACTTAAGGATTTCCAGCATACTGACGTTTGGAGAAGCTAGCTTGGCTTAACTAAGTTTGGGTGCCTTCCTCGCCACATGCTGGAAATGGAAAGCTTCCTTTCCAGAATAGTTTTATTCTGTTTTTGAAAACTACCCTACTGTTCACTGTTTGACTATCTAATACTCTTTATTGTTAAGGAATGTACCGTGCATAATCTTCATTACCCTATCTTTAGCTTTAGTCAGTGACTCCTTTGTCTGTTTTATATTTTTATATGGGTGTGTATATATAGGGAAATGTTAAGGGAGCATAGGAGAAAAAAATATACATGCATAAACTATAGGGGGTATGTCTACGCTGCACGGCTATTTTGGGATTCCAGAGGTATCCTGAAATAGCTACCTTGTGTCTACACAAGCCGCCCATTATTTCAAAATATTTTTCAAAATAACAGGCGCATTCTTTAGGTATCCCGGTAACCCTTTCCATGAGGGTTAAGGGATATCTCGAAATAACACGTTATTTTGAAATTTGGTGCTGTTTAGATTCATCAAATTTAAAAATAAACTATTTCGAAATAAGATAAGCAATTTGGTAGCGCAAATTGCACATCTTATTTTGAGTTTAGTGTGCTGTGTAGACGCAATGTAGGAAGTTTTAATTTACACAGCTAGTATGAGTGAATTGTACTATTTGGGTTACTCTGTTTCACTAACTCATATTTAGCTACAGAAAGATTGGATAGAGGAGAGATGAAATAAACACAAAAACTACTTTGTATATAAGATGAATAGTGCTATTTCTGCAGGCTAGTAAATGAGATGTACAGCAATAGTAGTCATTCTGTTTATACTTGTCACTAGCTTAGATAGTACTTTTGGATCCAAAGTTACATAGTTATGTCTCTTTAGGAAAAGAGTAAAGCTGGAGATGTGAAAACAGACACAGAAAAAACCACCACAGACAAAAAACGAGAACGAAGAAAGAAGAAGCTTCGTAGACGTATGAAGCTAAGGGAAAAGCAGCAGCGTCAAAAACTCCTGGAAAAAACAAAACCAGGAAAAGAGACACAACTCAGCAAACAAGCTGCTGCAGCAAAGTTAAAAAAGCTCACCAAAGAAGGCAAAACAACTTTGCTCAAGGTAAGACTGTCTTATGTTGTCTACTGTACATTTCAAATATTTAGTAATTGGGTATTGGTTTCCTGTCTTGTCATTTAAAACATTTTAAAAAATGAAAGTCCTCAGTGCAGGGCTGCATACCAGCTGCTTTGTCCTGTCCTGTTCTCACCCCAGTGTAAAGCAACCCTACACCCAAATAGCATGTGCTGTCACAGAGCTCCTACACCATCATTCTTCCTCCACAGCCAGCTCATTAGCTTTTTGGGGAAGGGGGGCATTCTTGAACTTGGTAAACTCGAGATTCTGTAGTGATTCTTGGGGATGTTCAGTTTATTTTAACCTGTGCCAGGGACTAGCCCTGTGAATATCAACCACTAGTACTTGTAGACAGCAAAGGATGCCTTTTTATTCTTGCCTGGGCTGAGCACTTCCTTGACAGAAAATGTGGCCCAAGGTGTCAAAATATAATTTCAAAACAAAGAGCAGTTTGGACAGTTATGTTTATTGATATTTACAGTGTTATATTTTATGTTATTTGTCCTATAGATTTTTTTTTTTTTTACTTTGAATAAACTCATATTTCATAATCATCTTCCCCTTTCCATTAGTATGTGCAAATAGCTTAATCTGTGGATCCAAAAAACCTGAACTGTACAAGAGTTATTCTGGAATTTAATCTTTAAAGTATAAATGGAAGGTACTATTTATATTTGGTGCACTTTATTTTGAAGTTCACAATCTGAGCTGCAATTTTGGAAAAAATTGCACATGGGCTTATTTTATGAATGTGAGTACAAGGGGCCCCCGCTATAAGTCGCCCTGGTATACATCCGTTCCACACTAAAGTCGTTGACGTGTGTAGGAACTGATGCATTGTAAGTCCTCCCATTCCCCACTATAAGTTGTGCGAAACACTCCTCCCAATTTGCTTAAATGGAAGTCATCCACGGGAAAAAAAATCCCCGATTTAAGTTGTTTCGCTATACGTCCAAATTTTTTGGAACGTATCTTGGATTTAGTGCGAGGACCCCCTGTAGTAGGGACATTTAAATACATTTATTTGTGTAAACAAGTCACCACTGAATTTTTTAGCAGTTACATGTTTAAACACGGGTCAGGCAGGAGCTAGTGCTTATGGGGAGGTGGTTGAAAAACCAGCTCCTTCTTAAGCACAGACTCCTGCCTGCCACCCTCTTTCCCCCTCTCCCTTCCCCCACCTGGCTATGGCATCTGATACAGAGACAGCAAAGCAGGAGACAGGCGACTCTGTGAGAGCCGGTACACGAGAGAGACAGCTTGAAATCTGGCCTCCTGTGTGTACCAGCTCCCCGCCTGTCCTTGCCCCCACATGCTGCTGCCTCTGCACTGGCTCCTGCCTCTTCCACTCCCTCCAGCGCCTCTGATAAAGAGGCAGCGGAGAGGGAGTGGTGCATATAACTGTGTTCACAGATCCACGTTAACATCCCTAGTGAGTAGTCCTGTCAAACTCAATGGAATTACTGGCATGCATAAGCATTTTGAAAATCAGACCCTAGCTAGTTCCTCCCAAGCTTTATAGATATAGTTCAGAATGCTACTTTAAATTCAAACAAAAACATCAGATGTTACAAGAACAAGTGCTGCTTGTGTGGGATTTCTTTATAACCTCTAAATATTGATCCTGTATCTAGAATATAGTAAAATCTGTAGTTTTTTAGGGGTTTACCACGTACAAGGGAACATTCATTCTTAATATTTAAGGTTTTTAAAACAGTGAAAGAGGCTATCGAAAGTAGTTTTCTTTAACACATCTAAAACATTTGCACTTTTACAAAAATAAAGCAAAAATCTACATTTCTCTAGAAGGGACTGATAATTAGGCTTGTGAAAGGTTAATCGGTGGAGCAACTTCCCTCCCAGCCACCATAGGCAGGGGGCTGCTCCATTGCTGCGGGGCCAGCCACAGATGGGGCCTGCTCCAGCCATCCGGAGCAGCCTCTGTCCGTGGCAGACCTGGGCACATGTCACAGGCAGAGGCTGCCTCCACCCCTGCTTTAATTGGCTAACTGGTTAAACAGCACATTTAACCAATTAAATTGGATTTGACGTTCCTACTGGTAATATCCAAGTATTCAATTCTGGATTTGTATGTATATTTCTTATTAAAACGTGTTAAGCATGGGTATGAAGAAGGAATAAATCCCTTAGTCTTTTGAAGTTACAGTGTGGTAAAAAACCAGGATTGCATAGCAGCTGTCTGCAAATCAGTTATCAGTAACATTATTGATAAAGTATATTTAAAATAAAAAGGTTTTAACTAGCTTGTAATTATGTTGTTGCATTAGTCCATTGGAACATTTGCTAGCTCGTCCTTTATTATAAACACTTTTTCTATTGACAGGATGAAGGTAAAGACAAGGCTTTAAAATCATCTCAAGCATTCTTTTCTCAATTACAAGATCAAGTGAAAATGCAAATTAAAGGTACAAAGAAAATACAGAAGACACAGCAAAAAATTTCTGTTAAAAAACTTAAATTATAATACATTTTATATGTCCTGTACCTTGTATATATTGAAGTAAATATTTCTAATTTGCATTTTGAAATGTAGCTTTTATTTTATATAGTGCTTGAAACTCTTCTGTAAGTTGAAGTTCCATTGAATGTCCTTCCTGCTGCAGGTGTTGAAAATGTGGACTGTTCATGCTCTTCTTTCAGCCTTCTGCTTTTTTTTTTTCTGTTAGGAATCCAGTCTTTCTTCTTCCTCTAAAAGAAAAGTCTCAAACAATAGGCAGATAACACAGCACATCTGTGAAAATACAGTATAATATTTTATTTATAGTAAAACCTTGAGTTATGAATACCTTGGGAATGAAGGTTGTTTGTAACTGAACAAAAGGTTATGGTTCTTTCAAAAGTTTACAACTGAACATTGACTTAATTCGACTTTGACATTTTACTGTGCAGAAGAGAATTGCTGATTTTAACCACTTTGATTTAAATGAAAGAAGCACAAACAACTTCCACGCATTGTAAATCTGGTTTATAAACTTTTTTTTTTTTTTTTTTTGAGATTTACATAAAACTTTTGAGATTGGTGTTTGACCAGCCAGTTAGTAACTCTGTTGGTAACTCTGAAGTTTTACTGTATTGGTCTCCAAATTATTTCATTTTTTCTCTCTCCATGTACACAGAAAAAAGTGGGGAAAGAGAAGTTTAATCTCTCTATATAAAGTTGTTTCCTGCAGGACGACAGAGTGATGCCATCACGTCACTCTGCGTCCTGTTGCCCACCTCCACCCTTAGCTGCGCAGCCTCTCATTTACCCGTGTGGTGCTCTGGGGAGGCGGAAGCCATTCGGCTGTCCCTCAGCGCTCCGAGAAGGTGGAAGTCATGCGGCCTTCTCCTCTTCTCTCCCCCCGCCCCCCTCCAGTGCTCTGGGAAGGCAGGAGCTGTGCGGCCTTCCACACACTACGCGCCCCCTCCCAGTGCTCCAGGGAGGCAGAAGCTGCATAGCCTTTCACCCCAGCCCCCTCCCCACCGGTGTTCTAAGGAGGCAGGAGCCACGCAGCTTCCTCTCTCCCTCCTCCCCCACTCCTGTCTCTGCAGGCTGGTGGTAGGATATGAGGCTAAAGGGAAGGGTGCAAGGAGCAGGCAGGTTACGGGGAAGGGAAGTTTGGTGTGCGTAGCAGCCAGAGAGAGGGGGTTGGCGAGCTCCTTCAACCTTCCTTGCTCCTGCCTCCTTCCAGAAGGAAATTTTATGCTAGAGAAGGGGATCAAGACGGATTGCCTAGCCACTAATTTTGAGCAGCCAGACACCTTACTCCCAGCCTGCTGCTGCACCCTCACCCCCTCCTGTATCCCACCTCTTGCCCAGATCTTGTATCCCCATCCCTATCCCACTCAATAGCAGCCCTGTCCCACAGACTGACCCCACATTTTTGGCCACACCCCAGAGCCTAAGTGTGCCCACAAAATCCACTAACCCTGGGACTCCAGAAGAGTTAATCTGGCCTGAGGCTTTGCACCTCAGTCATCACTGCCCCAACCATGGGGCTGGAGCACCAGAGGACGGAGGTGTTTCAGGTGAGGGCTGCGGGTTTTGGGAGGGGCTTTTTTTCTTTCTTGTGTGGTCCCCAATTGATTTTTCTGGGGGTCAGTGGCTCCTGACCCAAAAAAGGCTCCCCGCCCCTGCCATAAATGAAGACAGTGTTGAAACCCTTTTTGTTGGACATAATATTTGACTTGATTTAAAATGAAGCCTGGTCAACAAGGCCTCAATCAGGGCCCAGCCCCCATCTGGTCACAGTGTCTTGTCCCTGGTCCCATTCCTGGGGCAGTCTCTGTGGTCCAGTCCCTATCTGGCCACAGGAAGGGCTGGTGCTGGACCTCCTGTGGCACAGTGGACAGAGTGGGGCTGGCGAGCGCAGCAAGCATGGGGGGCAGCCCCCTAGTAATTTAGTAAAACATTGGCTTTAGGCATTCTCAGACTTGGTCATGGATGGGCTTTATTATTCAGTTATGTGTGTGTTGTAACCCTGTCTAAAGATGGTCTTTATGACTGAAAATAATTTAAAATGATCTATAATTGACGTGATTAATAATAGCATATGAAACATAGACTTTATTTAATGGGACTTCGGCTGCTGCATCTTTTTGCACATTTCTTGGAAGTTTACATCATAACTGGTCAAATCCAGTTTTATGCATGCAGTCAAGCTGACTTCTCTCTATTTTATGGCAGGAGGCTGGGGATGTGGGGTGCAGGAGTTTGGGGATGGGGTATGTGGGGCTCAGGGTAATGGGTTCAAATGCATGATGGGCTCAGGGTTGGGATTTGGAATGTGTGCAGGAATGTTATGTCACTGTGGCCACCGTTCTATCCAACACAAAATTTTTCAATGTTATCTTTATTTATGGCAGGGATGGGGAACTTTTTGGGGGTTGGGGACCACTGACCCACAGAAAAATCAATCAGGGACCACAAAACTGAGAAGCCAAAAACCCCCTAAAAAAATCCCCAACCCTCACTGATGTGGCTCCCAATTGAAACAACTCATTTCCCCTGGTGCTCCAGCCCCATGGTGGAGGGAAGGTCAGGGAGGACTGAGGTTTAAGGTCTCAGGCCAGATTAACTCTTCTGGGGTTCCAGGGTTAGTGGATTTTGTGGGCCCTCCTAGACTCTGGGGTGGAGCCAAAATGAGGGGTTAAAGGTGCAGGATAGGGCTGCCAGTGAGTGGGATAGGGATGGGGGTGCAGGAGAGGGTGAGGGTGCAAGGTCTGGGTGGGATATAGGATGCTGGAGCAGGCTGGGGGCAGGGTGTCTGGTGTGGGGTCTCGGCAGGGCGGTGTGATGGTCCTGACCGAGGCTGGGCACAGCTGAGGCATCCACTCAAGGTGAATTGCTCAAACTCGGGGCTCCTTACAGCCCCAGACTGGAGACCTTCCCAAATAGACCACAAACCAGTCACACCGAGCACTTCAGCTGCCAATCTGGCCAGCCAGAAGCCTCACAAGCAAAACCCCTCTGAAACCCCAGCTCTTCCTGTGCCCCAAACAGCCCCAGGCCTAACACACAGGTGAGGGCTTTTAGAACCCAATCTCACCTACCCCAAACGGGTTCTTCTGGTCCCAAGAAACCAGCCACAAGTCCCAGTCAATTTACAATCTGGATCTTATCCACAAGTCCATGCTGAGCCAATCCTTTAGATTCTAAAATCTAAAGGTTGATTACTAAAAGAAAGAAAAGCATGAGAGTAAGGTTGTTAAGGAGAATACATTACATGCATCAAATCACCAAGTTCTCAATGCAGGCTCTTAGCAGAGATGTTACAACTGATATGTTAAGTCTCTGGTGTACATCCTATGTCAGGATCGGTCCACGGTTCTTCCTGGCTCGCTGTTCCCTGCAAGGTTGCATCTGGGATCAGGAGCTGAACTCAAGACCAGATGGAGGGTGTCACATGACTTACATACCTCTCCTGGCATCTTCCTGGCCAGAGCAGGTCACGTAGTCGAGCGACCTATCTCTGTTTCACATGCTCGCAGCCATTATGCCCTAGCTGGTTTGCAGGTATCCGTCACATTCCTCAGGTGTGTATTGGCACCTAGAGATTCATTGTCTCTTTGCTAATTAGCATAGCCACTGGCTGAACATTCTTTGCCCATTGCTCTGTCTCAGACAGAGAATTTTCCAACAAACACAGAGTACATATTTACAACTCTACATACGGATAGTATACAAGTACATGAATAGCATATACAGACTCAGTAGAACATAAGCTTTCATGTGATGACTCACGTGGCCCCCTTTGTACCGACTTTTGGGGCAAACACCTCCCCCCCCATGGGTGCAGCAATGATCTTTAAAATTCAATAACGTGACAGGCGGTGAGTGTGTAGGTTGGGAGTGTGGGGTCTCAGTAGGGTGGTGAGTGAGAGGGCTGAGGTTACGGGGTCTCAGTGGAGGGGGTGAGCAAGAAGGCTGCGGGTGCAGGGTCTCAGCGCAGGAGGGGCCACTTGCTTTTGTGCTGCTTTCAGGCATGGCCTCCCGCTGCTCCCATTGGCTAGAATCTGGCCAACGGGAGCAAAGGGGAAAGCCTCCAATTAGTTCTTCCCTCTGAGGCTCTTCCCCCAGCCCGAGGAAGGGAAGTGGCAGTGCATCTAGCTATTTCTGGCTTCACTTCCCCGCGAGCTAAATCGGCGGGGAACTTCACGGCTTGCTTTCTTGCCCCCCCACTGCAAGGAAACCGGTGCTGTTGCTTCATTGTTGTGGGGGGTCTGTGAGGCTGGAGCAGGGGGCTCCCTGCTGCAGGGGCGAGAGGGTAGCAAAGGGGAGGCTGAGCTGAAGCTGCAAGAGAGCCATATTTGACTCCCTAGTGAACCATATTTGGCTTGCAAGCCATAGGTTGCCAACCCCAGGGATAGGGTGTAGCATCATTTTAAATGCTACCAACTTGTATTTGGATTTTTTGTTTTTTAGAAAAAATGTTCAAGTGCCCCTGAATTTGAAGTCTTAGGTTATTTCTGTCCCCATAAAATTTAACCTTTTAGCTATGATCATCGTTCTTATAACCTTATCTACTGAGGTATTATATGATTTAATTTGCTTGTATTTGGAGGAAGATTAAAACTTACTTCTATATCACTGTATGTGTGATTTAAAATAAATTGTATCGCTTCATCTCAAGCATGAATTCATGAAGTGCACTCAAAGCAAAGGCCCAAAAGTACCTCTTGCTGCCTTTTACTTGTTACATAAAATCACAGATGTAATGAATTGGACAGGATCTTGAAAGGTCATCTAATTCAAACTCCTGAGCTGAGGGAAGCCCAAGTAAACCTACACTATTCCTCACAGATATGTATCTAACTTACTCTTAACTACCTCTAATGAGGAGGATTCTAAAGTCTTCCTTGGAAGCCTGTTCTAAACCTTTTTAAAATATTTCTAACAAAGTTCCTTTACTTTATGAATATGAAATTCTTAATTTTGTTCTTTGGAGCTTAGTAGATAATGAGAGTATCCTTTTTAGAATTGAACATTATTGTCCTGCTGGTCAGAAGAAATCTAAAGGTGGCTTAATATAGACTCCCACTGTAAGGTGGGAGAGAGTGTTCTAAGATACTGTGCTCCCTAACAAATGGCAGCTCATTCGATATGCAAATGAGGCTCGGCAATAAGAAAAGATTAGAAAAGAAGAGACTTAGGGGGTATATGATAGAGGTCTATAAAATCATGACTGGTGTGGAAAAAGTGAATAAGGGGAAATTATTTACTTATTCCCACAATATAAGAACATGGGGTCACCAAATGAAATTAATAGGCAGTAGGTTTAAAGTAAACAAAATGAAGTTTTTCTTCCATGGGTCCGGACTTAATACATCCAAGAGTACTGAGGGAGTTGGCAAATGTCATTGAGAAGCCTTTGGACATTATCTTTGAAAAGTCGTGGACATTGGGAGAGATCCCGGATAATTGGAAAAAGGCAAATGTAGTGCCCATCCTTAAGAAAGGGAAGAAGGACGACCCACAGGCCGGTCAGTCTTACGTCAGTCCCTGGAAAAATCATGGAAGGGATCCTCAAGGAATCCATTTTGAAGCATTTGGAAGAGGGGAAGGTGATCAAGAATAGTCAACATGGATTCATGAAGGGCAAGTCATACCTGATCAATCTGATAAGCTTCTATGATGAGGTAACTGGCTCTATGGATATGGGGAAGTCAGTGGATGTGATATACCTTGACTTTAGCAAGGCTTTTGATATGGTCTCCCACAATATTCTTGCCAGCAAGTTACGGGAATGTGGATTGGATAAATGGACGGTAAGATGGATAGAAAGCTGGCTGGAAGGTCGGGCCCAGCAGGTAGTGATCAGCATCTCGATGTCAGGATGGTGGTCGGTTTCTAGCGGAGTGCCCCAAAGTTCGGTTCTTGGACCAGTTTTGTTCAACATCTTTATTAATGACCTTGATGAGGGGATGGATTGCACCCTCAGTAAGTTTGCGGGTGACACTAGGCTAGGGGGACAGGTAGATATGCTGGAGGGCAGGGATAGAGTCCAGACTGACTTAGACAAATTGGAGGATTGGGCCACAAGAAATCTGTTGAGGATCAACAAGGACAAGTGTAGAGTCCTGCACTTGGGACGGAAAAATCCCAAGCATTGTTACAGGCTGGGGACCAACTGGCTAAGTAGCAGTTCTGCAGAAAAGGACCTGGTGATTACAGTGGATAAGCTGGACATGAGTCAACAGTGTGCCCTTGTAGCCAAGAATTCTAATGGCATATTAGGTTGCATTAAGAGGAGCATTGCCAGTTGATCCAGAGATGTGATTATTTCTCTTTACTCGGCTCTGGTGAGGCCACAATCTGGAGTATTGTGTCCAGGTCTGGGCCCCCAATTACAGGAAGGATGTGGATGCATTGGAGAGGGTCCAGTGGAGGGCAACCAAAATGATGAGGGCGCTGGAGTATATGACCTACGAGGAGAAGCTTAGGGAGTTGGGTCTATTTAGTCTGCAGAAGCGAAGAGTGAGGGGAGATTTGATAGCAGCCTTCACCTTCCTTAAGGGAGGTTCCAAAGAGGCTGGAGAAAGGCTGTTCACAATAGTGATGGATGGCAGAACAAGGAACAATGGTCTCAAGTTGTGGTGGGAGAGGTCTAGGTTGGATATTAGGAAAAACGATTTCACTAGGAGGGTGGTGAAGCACTGGAATGGGTTACCTAGGGAAGTAGTGGAGTCTCCATCCCTAGAGGTGCTTAAGTCTCGGCTTGACAAAGCCCTGGCTGGGTTGATTTAATTGGGATTAGTCCTGCCTTTGGCAGGGGGCTGGACTTGATGGCCTTCTAAGGTCTCTTCCAGCTCTATGGTTCTATGATATTCCACGCATAGGCTCATTTGCATACTCATGGTGCAAGATCCTGCCAGTGTAGACATAGCCTCACTGTTTTAAATCAATTTAGAAATCAGTTTAAACTTGAAGCAGGTTAAATGGTAGGAAATGATAATCCTGAATTTTCATTCTCCCATTGCAGAATGCCCTAATTATCCTTTAAGAGTTCCCAAAGAAATTCTGAATTATCCTGAATATATTTCATCAGATTGAGATACTTGTAGTATTAAACTGATTTTGCCAATGACAATATACCATTTTTAAGTATCTAAAATAAAAAGATTAATTAGTTGTTGAGGACTAAATATTTTTTTCAAGTAACTTCAGATACATTGTGTATCTCCAAAGAGATGTTTGGAAAATTTGTCACAGTGCAAGTAATAAAAGCTAGTGCATTAGTTCAGTCTCAGGCAAAACCAGGATAGCAAAATTATTGTTAACAGCTTACATAAAGGACTTATGTCTGCATCTTTAAAAAATGGGCACTATATATAACTGAGTGATCAATAGTAGAGTTTTGGGTAATGAAACCAGAAAAGGGGCATAATTTATTTATTGCCTAGAAACCTATGTTGAAGTGTATTTAAAAAAAAGTAATTATAACTATATATCACTTGTGCTTATGTACTTAACCCTGGGACATCCCACAATTCCACTGTTAGCATCCAATTGGTTCCAGTATTTGTTGCATTATTATAAATGGAAACTACTCTAACAGTATAAAAAGTTAAAATTGTAGCTGGCATTCACATTCCTGTTCAAAACTTTCTTCATTTGATGAAGAGTTTTTAATTTGTGGCTTATATACCCACGGTACAATTGTATCTTACAGAACTATTCCTGAAGATGTTAATCTCTGAACATAAATCTTCAAGGTGCTACTAGACTATTCATTGTTTTTTAAATAAACCTTTGTGTCTTTAAGATATTTCTGCAGTCTTCCACAGCCATAAACTTTCCAGTGGTTTGAAGCTGAAAAGGTTTTCTGGTCAAGATGTTTTTGCTTAACAAATTTGTTGACTTCCTTTAAATTGATCAGTACTTCAAGGTTTTCACTCCTCTTAATCACCTCTTTAGAAAGTAAAACAAAAGAAGCAGTCATGTACCACTTTAAAGACTAACAATATAGTTATTAGTTTATTAAGTGATGAGCTTTCGTGGGGGCAGACCCCCTTCTTCAGATCATATTCTGAAACTGAATTAGCATGATTGTTATATGACTCCTTCAGTTGCTGTAACAGAACCAAGCACAATTTAAAATAACTTCAGCCGGTAATAAGGGACTCACTGCCCTGACCATCGGCTGACAGGAGGGTGGCGAGTCCCTTTTTTGGCTGGCGAGTAGGGTTTTCCAGAATTTGTCGAGCCCTGGGCATGACCATTATATAAGAGAGGGATACAATGAAAAAAAGTTAAAAAATTACAAACTGACGAATCAGCTACATAGAAGAGAAGGTGGGGACGGGGGCGGTGGAGGGGGGGGGGGGACAAGGAAGGAGGCAATTACTTACTGTAAGAGTCAATTAAGCCAATCGCTTACAGTGGCTAATCTGGGGTCACTACAAATATCAAAAGGTGGGGAGGCTGTCATTGTAATGTGTAAGATAATTATCTCCATTAAGGCCCATTTGCAACATGTCAAATTTTAGCATAAATAAAAAAAAGTGTGTGCCTGTGTTACAGGTCAATTATTTTACATGTGGTCTGAAATATTAAAAAAAACTTGCCTTGTCTGTTATAACATGATCTTTTGTGAAGTCATAGTGCATGTGACTCCCCTACACATTAATCAAAGAACAGCTCTTCCTTTCCCTTATAAGAAACCCAGTAATGTGAAATTCCTAAAGGAACTTTCAAGCTTCTAGTTATTAAGGATAAACATTTTTCTGCCTTCAAGGACTTTATCAATAGAGAAATTTTAAAACTGGGAGTTCTGGAAATCTCTCAGCTTCTCTTTGGTTGAATGATAAAGCATCCAACTTTGTATTTATCTCACTCCTGCCAGATTCAGCCTCCCCCTGGAGCTTCAAGGGCAGCTGTTCATCTTTTAGGATTTTGAGTCTTTTCTCACAGTTACTTTGGAGACCCTGTTGTAAATATTTTTAATCCTTTCAACACTAAACAAAACATTTTAAGGGATGCAGCTTTTGGTTTTATTTTTTTCCCCAATTACTTTTTGTCTTTTACCATTAACCCATCTCCTACCTAATGTCTGTTAGAAACTAGACTAGTTTGTGATCTCAGCTTGGCCTTCTTATGATGATTCTGGCTGAATGGTGAATATCTTGATTGAACTGCTCAATTCTGGTCACATGCAGTAATTGTTAGTTACAAGAGATCAGTAAGATTGGCTGACATTCAATGTAATGACCAGACCCGCGTACTTCCAAAGATTTTGTAACTTTAAACTACGTCTTCTCTTTAATCCATAGCCAAGCGTTTCTGATGTAGGTCCTCATACTGCAATGAGTGCGTGATGGAGGGAGGGACTCAATGCAGGAACAAACTAGGACCTGCTGCAATTGTAACAATGGGGCATTTCTCACAGACATTTCCCCTTCCCCACCTCTAATATCATTAACTCACTGGCATTCACCTTCCTTCCCCCCCCCCCCAAATCCCCCTTTTGTTCTGAAATGTGATTTGTCGTTTTCATATGTGTTCATTTTTTTAATTGTATCCTTTGGTATCTATGGTTGTGACTACTTTCTTCCACTATTTGATCTGAGGAAGTGGGTCTGGCCCACGAAAGCTCATCACCTAATAAACCATCTTGTTAGTCTGTAAAGTGCTGCATAGTCCTGCATTTTGCTTCAGCTGCCCCAGACTGACACGGCTCCATCTCTATCACTATTCTACCAATGGGGCAGTGGCGGGTCTCCCCGTGCAGAGGGGTTGCCGCTATCGCCCCCTTACCTGCGCACGCTCAGTCTCGCATGGAATGTTTAAGTCTGCCTCGGGCTGGCCCGTTGCCAGCAGCCGGGGATGAGCATAAGTCAACCCCCCCCCCCACGCGGGTCCCGCGGCCGTGCGATGCGCGGGGGCGGGGCGAAGCTACGCGCCGCGCCTTGAGGGGAGGCCGCCGGCCCGAACGGGGGCTCGTTGGCCCGGCAACGCCAGGCGCGAGGCTCTTCGCAGCCACCTGTCGCCGCCCCGCGGAGCCAGCGAGTCGATCGCTCCGGGCTCGGCTGGCCGTGCCTGCGGCGGCGGGCTGGAGAGCGGAGGGATGGCGCGTCCCTGCCCCTGAGCGGAGGGGAGGCAGGGGGCGGCAGAGCGCAACACGGGGCTGCCTTGGGTCGGCTCCTGCCGGCGGGGGGGGGGTGTATATGTCCCGCTTGGTTACACAGGGTCTCCGCCGCCGCCGCTCACGTGACATGATGTCGCTTCGCGTGAGTCGCGGGTCGGGCGCTGCGGCTGCTGCCCGGCGCCGTCTCGTTCCCTCCCCCCACGCCCGCTGCTGGGCGGTGACCAGGGCGCGCGTGTGAAAACGCAGGCCAGGCGGGGCCACGGGTGCCCACGTGAGCAAAGTCCCAAGGGTCGGGACCGCCCCTATCCGGCTAAGGCGGTGGTCCCCAACCTTTCGTGGCGGCCGCGCGCCCTGAGCCTAGGGCCGGCACCGCGCATATGCCGTGCGCCCTGGGGCGGGGCCAGCCCAGATGTTTGGGCGGGCTCGCATAAATGCCCCCGCGGGCGCCATGGCAGGGCGTTGCGTTGGGAACCACTGGGCTGGGGCGTCAGTCACAGCAGTCTGGGGGCTGCTGAGAGGAGGGGACCTGACGGGGTCTCTCTCTGAGCCCCATTCCGCCCTGCCCTCTGCCTGGGCGACCTTGTCAGCCTGTGGCCTTGCCACCCAAGCACCCATCCGCTGTGCCCGGCTCCCAGTGGGGACAGGCCTGGGGCAGAAAACGAGAGAGCCAATGGCCAGGGGTAGCCTTGGAATCTGGATGAAAATGTTTTAAAAGGATTGTTTTAAAGGGGGGGGGGGTTCAATGGAAGATGCTGCCTTTAGATAATATTTGTCCTAAATTTTGAGCCAAATCCCCCAAATGCATGTTCTTGTGCTACGGGACGTGGCATGTTTGGTGCTGAGACCAGGCACAGGGAGGGACTAACATGTAGACCACTGATGCCTTTTGAGGGTGTTCACTGTGCTCTGGTGGCCTCTCAAAAACAGACCAACAGTGTATATATAGAGAGCCAGGGTATGCATGTTGTATGTTTTTAGGAAACTTTATTTGGGACCTATTGTGCCCTAGTTGTTCCTTCATTGTATCAGAAGGATAGCTGAGTTAGTCTTTAAGGTGCCACTAAACTAGTCGATTTAAAATTTTTTCCTGTTACAGACTAACAAAACATCCGAAGAAGTGGGTTGTGCCCACAAAAGCTCATGATACCAGCTACATGTTTTATTAGTCTTTAAGGTGCTACTAGACAAGTCATTTTTTAAGCTTTTCCTTCATAATATGTTAGTATCAAGCAAATGACACAACAGAAGTATATGGAGACCTGAGTTAAACCAGGTCCATACGCAGGTGTGATGCAAAGGGTGCACAAGTACAATGGTTGCCCAAGTAAGCATGCTCTAGCTGGCCAGGGAAAGGCAGGACCACTGCCCAAGCCTCCCTCCCCCATGCTCTGACCAGCTGGGGAAGACAGGCTGAGTTCCCCACTTACTTGGGGGACCATGATGGGTGCATTCCATATTTACAAAAACACTTCCCCCCCCACCCCCTCCCGCAGAAGTTCCTGTGTACAGGAACTTTGTCCCAATGGAGTGTGTGAGTAGAGTAGGCATGTTATTTAAATGGATGCTGAAATTAGATGCCCCACATTTTCTTTGTGAAACAAGTCAATGTACATTCTGATAGTCTAAATCAGGTGGAGAAGGCTCAGGGCCCAGCTTTGGGCTAATTGAGGAATAATTTTGTCTTAACTATTAGACTGCTCTTGAGTATATTACAAATGTTTAAACACAACTGCATTGCTCAACATGGTAGGCTATGTCCACTGACAGTGCACAATGAACATTAATGGGACAGTAGAAGCACAGCACACTCAGGACTACATTGTTCCAGACCCATACAGTCTTTTTTTTCTTATCTGTACTATTCACTTTGGTGATGTATGGTGGTTAATAGATCTGTTCGGTACTCAAAATTGTTCTTAAGTTTCATATATTTCGTTGCAGGCAGGGCGGAGGAGACAGACAAATAAGATGAAGCCAAGAAAATTACTGTTTTTAATGATTTCAGAATAAGAAAATATCACTCAAATGAAGCAAACCATGCAGTCTACATCTTTTTAATCTCATAATGTCAGAAGCCACATCTCCCGAAAATAAAAGACCCCGGAGAAGCTTGTCCCTTAGTAAAAACAAAAAGAATGAAAATAAGAGAAAGAATGAAGCAGCAATTAAAGGTGCACTACCCAAATCTTCAGCGTCTTCCTCTATCCTTTCATTTTTTAACAACCCTCCCCCTGCCAAAGTTACCTGCCCTTTGTGTGGGCACATGGTGCCAAAGTATGGGATCAACAAGCACATAGATGAAATATGTCAGAAGAATCAAGGAGATGATGAAATGATTCTAGTTGATTCAGGACTTAATTGTTTTATGAGTGAGGGTCCATCAGGTATAAATCTAAACACTAGTTCTAGCCCATACTTTGCAAAGAAAACTTCAACTCCAGAGAAAAATACCAGTGTCGTTGAAAGCAACTTGTTGAAAATGAGAGCAGATGCAGAACAGCAGACTAGTCCTTACTTTAAGAAGAAAAATGCTCCAATGTGCAAGGTTCAGAATGAGCCAAGAGTGCAAATGGTTAAAAGTATCTCTTTGGGAAGCTTGTCATCTAAACTGTCCAGAAGGCACCGTATTCAGAGCAGACAATTGACAGAACAAAACTATGGGAATTCTCAAGCTGTTCACAGTGTGTGTGACAATGATACAGAAAAATGGGGCAATGAAGAGATATGTGGTGGGGATGGCTCTCAGAAAGAGAATCATTTTGTTCTGGTAGACAGCTTAACAAAAGAACTTGAAAGTCAGGGAGAAACACAAGAATGTGATAAAGAAACTCTTGTGGGGTCTGCTCATGGATTAGCATCCTCAAGTAACATTGCCAGAGATCTAGTGTCTGCTACAGGGAACACTGAGAAACATAGTTGTTCTGAAAGCATGGTGCCTCTTCTTGGCGAACATACAATGCATTCAGCAAGTTATACTAAAGAAGAGAGATTGGATGGTTCAGAAGCCAAAACTCTGTTCTCTGTTGATATTTCTTCTCTACGGACACAAGTGACATATGAGAGCCATACAGAAAACTGCCTAGTGAAGGGTAATACAGGAACGCTTCCCATGGAAGTTAGCGAAGACTTAAGAAATGAAATGATTTGTCATGCTTTTGCAGAACCTATGCAAGAGGTGGATTTTCAGAATCCTGCCAGTGACATTTTAGACAAAATAAATGGTACACTTGGTTCTACATCTGATTCTTTTGGTCACCCATATTATCTCCAGAATTTCCTGATGGTCCTGCAAGCAGTCCTAGAGAATCATGATGATCTGAGACTCTTTGATGAGCAAGATTCCAGGACTATTGCAAAGTTCTACCAATTGTCAGGTATATTTTACTTTAGTTGGTTTTTTGTTATGTTGAGTGTCCTACTCCCCGCCCCCCACACACACAAAAGAAAGAAAGAGTAACAACAGTGATTAAACCTTGCTTAACAATCCTTGTATGGGAAGGGCAAGGTGGGTAAGGAAAAAGGTCTTATTGGACTTCTCTGTTGTTTCTGTATGGGTGAAACTGGATAGTCAGTATGCTCTGAAATCAACTCTCACAGAAAAGTGATAAAGACAAAATGCACCACGTCATCCATGGACAAATATTTTTCATAAAGTGATGACTACATATCTGACTTATCAGTCTTTGTCCCCAAAGGAAAATGTATAACACTTTCAAAAGATGAACCTAAGAACATATAATTATAACTCTGCTAGATACTAAAAATCATAGTCTCAACACAGATTTTGATTTTATGGCTCACTATAAGAATGAATAACCTGCTACAGTGGTTTTCAAACTACGGATTGCTGGGTTGTGGAATGTCAAGTACTGGGTCTCATTGCTCAGGGTGATTAGGTGACCAGTGGGGGTGCTAAGGAAGGCTACCTGCCTGTCCTGGCACCATGGACTGCACTGGGCCCCAAAAGCAGCTAGCAGCAGGCCCAGCTCCTAGGTGGGAGGGAGGAGAGTGCACAGGGCTCCATGTACTGTCCCTGCCCCAAGCGCTGGGAATCTGCTGCTGGCTGCTTTTGGGGCATAGTATGGTGTGTGGTGCCAGGAGAGGCAGGAAGCCTGCTTTAGCACCCGTGCTGCAGCACTTACTGGGAGTCGCTCATGGTATGCCCCTCCTGCCCCAGCCTTGACCCCCTCCCCAAAAGCCAGAGCCTCCTCCTAGTCCCCATTGCTCTCATCCTCAGCTTCACCCGGGAGCCCACACGCTAGTCAGATTATGTTGGATCATGGGCATCAACAATTTTCTACGGCTGGGTCATGAGAAAAAAAGTTTGAAAACTACTGACCTACTACAGCTCCTTTTTCTTATGATTGCAGAAATGTTAATTGCCCACTTCATTTAAAGTAGTTTCTTGCAGATTCTCTTTACGCCTTATGCTTAACCATCTGTCCCACCTTTTATTTAGTTGTGACACCTTGGATACCTTTTCCAGACACGAAGACAAACTCTCAAAAGTTTGTCTCTTCCACCAAGAGAATTGGTCCAGTACAAGATATTACCTTACTTACCTTGTCTGTCTCATACCCTAGGACTAACATGGCTATACCTATACTACAGACAACATATATTGGAAAGTAATTTTCATTTTGACCCAGTGATATTTGTATGAAATGAAAATAAATTTAAAAATCTATCCTGTTAGAATTCTGTAGCATCATGTATAAAACAATGTTTTAAGCTGAATAGCAATTTGACTTTGGTAACATATATAAAAGTTTGTTAGGCACATGTTGTCATGATATTTTTAAGCTTTTTAAAAATATTATGAATTCTGGAGTATGAAACCCTCTATTTTGTACATTTGGATATGACCCTTACTGCAGCATGGTCTCCTCTCTGATCAGCATATGGAGTTGGTGAATATCACAAGTATAGGGCTAAAAGTAGCCTCCATCTGGGTGATGCTCTATCAACCTTCAATCCTGCCTTCCTGAATTACACTGTATGTGTAGCACTTTCTTTAGTCTGAGTGACTGGACAGTATGAGGGCAATTGAGGTCTACATGAAATTCTCTGGTCTTATGGGATGCTCTAGTTTCAGTCCCTCTACAGTGGTCATAATCTCTCTTAATGTCCTCCTCTCTTACTTACCTTGATTGATAGATTGCTTGGACCTAAACTCTTGAGTATTTTACAGTAAGAACAATCCACACAGATCCATACACATCATAAACTACTGGCTTACAGACTGTGGAGGAAGAAATCATAGCAATTCTAATCTTCTTGCAATTAGAGGTAAACAGCATTCTGGTGCCTATTCAGATGAGTAACAACTAACAGTAAGAAACATGTGATTAGTGATTAT